GGCGTAACACCCACGCACTTTTGGTATTCATTTTTTAAATAACAGTGATTTCTTTGAGCGAAATCATTTATCGTCTGTTGTTATAATGACATGAATTTTATTATTAGAATATTATTATCATTTACTGTTATTTTTTGACATTGCATTAACAACGGAGTTATTATGACCGTCCCTCCTACTGCTAGCGGTGCTATGAACATGATAATCACTGTGATTTTCATGTTCATCGTTTTTGTTTTTGTTTTTGTTGTTTTTTTTTATGTTACCATTTTAACTATTATCGTCATCTTTACCTTTATCGTTATCATCCTTGCTATTATTTTTGTTATCACCATTACGACCATTAGTTATTATCATTATCATTAATGTTATATAACCATTAATTATCATTTTTTTTATTTTATCATTATGGTTATTATCATTACTTTTATTATTTTTTCATTATTATTATAATTATGATCATTATTATTATTATTATGATCATTATTATTATTATTAATATTAGTTTTATTATTATTATTGTTGTTAGTCATTATTGCTATCATTTCGCTTTTTATTATTATTATTATTATTATTACTATTATTATTATTATTATTGTTGTTATTTTTATTATCATTATTATTATTATTATTATTATTATTATTATTATTTTATTATTATTATCATTATTGTTGTTGTTGTTATTATTATTATTAATTATTGTTATTATCATCATTAGTTATTATCATTACCATTTCCATTATCACTGATTATTGATTAATTATTATTATCATTATCATCATCTTTATTATTGATTGGTCATCATATCATCTTTATTATTGATTGGTCATCATATCATCTTTATTATTGATTGGTCATCATATCATCATTATCATTATCATCCTCATATTATTATTAATGTTGTTGTTAATTTTGTTATTATCATCATCATGATTTATTGATTTCTATTATTATCATTATTATTGTTGTTATTATCAATTATTATTATCATTATCAATTATCGGTATTATCATTATCATTTATGATCATTGATTATTATCATTAGCACCATCATCATTATTATCAATTATTATTATTATTGATATTATTATCATCGATATAAATCATTAGTAATACAATTACCAGTTACTAATATTATATTCGTACTATCATCATTATGAATTATCATTACCATTATCATTATCACCATTGTCATTATCATATGATTTCTTTCATTTTAATTTTCATTATTGTTATTATCATCATCATTATCATCACATCATCATTACTGTTAGCATTATGCATTATCATAAATTTTTATTGTTGGCATTATTAATTTCTTTCCGTTTTTATCACCATCATCCTCGGCGTCCTCTGTCCACCCGATTTAACTTTCATTTTGCACACATATTTTCTGTAGGCCTATTCCTCATGCTCACGTACCCAGAGGTCGCTTCATTCGCACTCCCAGGCCTCTAGCCTTATAGGAATGATGAATAAAGAGAAAATTCGACTTGAGGGAGATATGTGTGTGTGTGTGTGTGTGTGTGTGTGTGTGTGTGTGTGTGTGTGTGTGTGTGTGTGTGTTGTGTGGTGTGTGTGTGTGTGTTGTGTGGTGTGTGTGTGTGTGTGTGTGTGTGTGTGTGTGTGTGTGTGTGTGTGTGTGTGTGTGTGAAAAGGTATGTTCTAGTGTTTTCCTATTCTCTCCTTCGTTGTTTTATAACCATATTGCGTCCACTTTCACCTCAGGCAGTAGAAGAGGCATATGTCAAGATACCCATGTTCGATACGCACTTTTATAAAGCATCAGTGCTCCTTTGAGTGTGACTGCCTTTTTTATGTGAGAAACTTCGAGAAAGGCTGTAAGTACGCATTTCTTTGCGAAAGCAGTGACCAACTTGTTATATAGTTGTTTTCATGAAGTATTATTCAAGTTCACGCGACGTGTTTAAACAGTTGCATTTACCATCTGTAAAATGTAAATGGCCCACAAGGATTTCAAATTTCTCGACAAGACATTTCTTCTTGTTTCAGAACGTTTACGCACCTCGCGAGGAAGAGTCTAGAGATATAAACCGTCGGTGGTGACACCTGAGGATGCAGCCGGACGAGGAAGGTTTCCCGGAGTCCCCTCTGGGCCCCTCGTTCCCCTCACTCCCCTCGAGGGACGGCGAGAGCGGGGAGATCCTCGGGGACAAAGTGGTGGCCCTGAGAAGGGCTCCTGAATCTCCCCGGCGCCTGCGCCTCCGGCCGGGCGTGCCCCGGGACAGGAGCCAGCCCGGCCACTACTCTCTGCTGAAGCAGCACCAGCAGTTCAGCGGCTTCAGGATTCGGGACGCCTTGGCTCAGCAGGGAGGACTCAGGCTGAGGAAGGGCAGCATGACCTACAGCAGGGGAGCCGCGCCTCTGCTGCAGCCTCAGTACCAGATGCGCGTTGAGATGGAGGGCGGCGTAGCCGTCCGCCAGACCTTCCCGAAGGGGCCTCGGCAGTGGCACGAAGAGTGGGGCCAAGTGCGCTTT